GGAAGCGTGAGGATGAAGCTTCACAATGGTGCAAGCCACATTCTTCATAATGTGAGGTATGTGCCTACTAGCAATACTAATGTCATATCATTGGGTGCAATGACATTAGAAGGGTGTAAGTTCTTTGGCACGAGCAAATGGTGCAAGGTGTTCAAGGGGAGACGTTTGATCATGAGAGGATGCAAAAATGAGAAGAACGTTTGCATCTTGGATGGAAGAGTCGTGCAGAGTAGCAGCACTACACCGAAGAAAATGAAGTTTTCAAAGGATGTGAAGGTCTTTGGAAATATGAATTAAGGGAGGAAATGTTAAGATATTAATTCAATATTTCCAAAGTTTGTGAGAGGGAAGATTATAGAGAATTCTATAAGTTGGTGGAGATGTGTAGAATTCTCTAGAATGTTGTGGAGTTTTCTAGAGAGGTGTAGAAGTCTCTAGAAATGTGTAGAATAGCCTAAAAGTTTCTAGAATATTCTAGAGCTTTTTAGAGAAGTGTGGAAGTCTCTAGAAGCGTGAGGAAGAATATAGTGTTCTCTAGAATATTCTAGAACTATGTGGAGTCCTCTAGAATCTTCTAGAACATTATGGAAGCATGTGGAGGCTTTCTAGAAGATTCTAGTGATAACGAGGTGTGTGGAATGTTCTAGAGAAGCCTAGCCTTGGTGAGGAGTATAAATAAGGAGTGTGGAGGAAGAAGAGAGTGAAGAACCAAGAAGGCTTCTTGAGAGTGCTTGTGAGTGAGGTGTAGAGAGGTGTTCCTAATACAAAGAGTGAAGTGTGCTACCCGTGTAATTGTAATCTATCTTGTACATTTCTTTATATAATACAAAGTCATTTTCTAAAGTCGTGTTTTTGTATTATTGAGTGTGTGTGTGAGTGTACAAGAGCTTGGTTGTGTGAATCGGGAAAAGAGGTCGAGACACGCATCAATTCCCCAACATATACAGGGGGTAGGGGGTGATTGGGGGTAGGGGTTTGTGCGTAAGGGTGGAGTTGAAACTAAAGTCTTGTTCTCTTAAACATATTTGATTCGTTCTGGCCTGATTTGATTAGTTTTGAATCTAATTTGATTATAGTTATATTTAAATCTATTTTTAATTTGATTCTAATAAAAATAAATAAAAAGTGTAAACTAAAGAAAATAAACTCTCAATCAAGTGATGTCAAATAGAGTCGGGCATCTGCTCGTGTTCTATTCTAGAGTTACTGGCCGCACTATCATTTGAAAGAGTCATATCTCCCGTTTGACATCAACGTTAGAGATTAACGTTAACGTTTTGAAAAGGCTATCTGACGGCAGCCTTTATTGTTAATGTTTTCCAAATCAATCTACACCATTAAAATTTTATCCAGAATGCTAACACTGATTGAAAACACAAATTCATGATTTTTTGTTATAGTTTTAGATAAGATGATGATAAGGTAATGTATAAGAAGACAAGCTGGAACATGGGTGTCATTAATTGTCTGGGTTTTATTCCTTTTCCATTTGTCTTGATTCATGTTGAATTGAGCAATTAGTGGCCTGGCCTGGGCGATCTATGCTAATGCGTCCAAATTAAAGTCATTTCGTCCGGACGCATGCTTGGGTTTTATTAATTAATTATAGCTTCTTAACCCATTTTAACACAAAGATGCACATGCCAACAAGCTGTTAACACTTAACACTACTCCCTATATATAACAATATAATTATTTGAGAATATTTGGAGCTAAGCTCTCATTTTGCTAAAACATACCCACAACTGTTATTATTCATTATTGTAAGCGTCTCATCAATAATTAACTACACTTATGGTCATAAGTTGTTGTTGTTGTTAATTATTATTATTATTATTATTATTATTATTATTATTATTATTATTATTACATAGTACTCCCTTTGTCATAAAACATTCTTCCCGTTTTTGTTTACGAGGTTTGATCGACTTTATTTTCAATTTAATTTATTTGATTGTAGGTGTAAAATTAAAAAAATGAAAATTATATACTCCCTCCGTCCTATATCTTTCTTCCCGTTGCGCAAAACGAAGAAAAATCCCAAGTTTTTTCAATCTATTTTATTTAAATATTGGTATAGAAATAAAAAATAAAACATACATATTTAAAAACTACATCAAAAGTTCAACAAAACAAGTGGTGACAAGAATATTTTATTTTATCATATAGGCCATGAAAAAACACAAATAAATATAAATTCCCGTGAAGTTAGAATAANAAATTATATACTCCCTCCGTCCTATATCTTTCTTCCCGTTGCGCAAAACGAAGAAAAATCCCAAGTTTTTTCAATCTATTTTATTTAAATATTGGTATAGAAATAAAAAATAAAACATACATATTTAAAAACTACATCAAAAGTTCAACAAAACAAGTGGTGACAAGAATATTTTATTTTATCATATAGGCCATGAAAAAACACAAATAAATATAAATTCCCGTGAAGTTAGAATAATGCTCTGGGAAGAAAGTTTTAGGACGGAGGGAGTATTCAAGAACTTTTTTTTGAATGCCTATATATTTAAAAAACTAGATCAAAAATTTTACAAAATAAGAGGTCGGTGATAGAACTATATTATTTTATTAAATAACTAAAGAAAATATGTAAGAAAGTGATTAAAGTTTGAGTGTGTGAATAGCAACTAAGAAGAATGTTTTAGGACGGTGGGAGAAGTATTTATTATTATTGTTATTATTCCATCCCTCCCAAAATTATTGTCGTGTTACACTATTCTCTGGTCAAACTTTTTTTCTTTACTTATTTTCGTTAATCATTTATTAAAATATATAACATAGTAATGTGACCTCTTATTTTACGGAACACTTGATGTACTTTTTATTACGGAGTATGTAAAGTCAGGCAAACCTTGTTTTCCGAAACAGGGTGATACTTTTGGGACGAACTTTATTACAATTTCTACATGTAATTCTTGAACGAAACTCTTTTTCTTGATATACAGAGCATATATATATATATATATATATATATATATATATATATATATATATATATATATATTTAAAAATTAAAAATATTGTGCCCCGACAAAAATTAGCCTGCACCGGTAGCTAGGGCACATTGGCCAACCCTTGGACCGGCCCTGGGTGGGATGCTCACCCCGAGTACCCCCGTACCTTTGTACGACAAGGTAATGATAGGATAAATAACAATAAAACATTAGTCTCGCGTCTTTAGAGAGGTCGTTCTGTGCTCAAAATCATTGAAGCTACAATATCTTAAAAATGTTAATGCAATGGGAGTGGTGGGCATGGGTTTGTTGGGTCAAACCGTCACAGGGATTCTATCCTAGTGCCAGCTGGGCGGATTTGTTATTAAATGCAGTTGTCGTACATATGACTTGTTTTGCTGTCCATTTCTTGTTGCCTTCTTGTTTTTTTGTGGAAAAATGCTAGGGTACCCCAAATGTCCCTCACCCTTCCTTGTCCACTAAAAAAGGCAAAAAAATTCAAAAAAAATAAGCAAATAAAAATCAAATAAAAATGTGTGGAGGAAAAGAGGGTGGTGTACATTTGGGGTACACCAAAGGGGTACACCAAATGGTGTACCCCTACATTGCTCTTTTTTGTGTGAGGGATCTCACCTGCCTATAATACTCTCTCCGTCCCTAAGTATTTGTCCACTTTCATTTTTACACACCATCCAATGCACTTCTTTAATCCATTTTATCTTGTAGTTTGTATATTAAAAAATTATAGAAATTTTATATTAATAATCTATATGTTAAGACAAATCAAACAAGATCACACATGACTATATTTAGGCTTACACATTGAGAGAATTTGATGAGTCAAAGTGCTTAGATGAACAGTTCAAAAAGTCAAAAATGGACAAAAACTGGGGGACGGAGGGAGTAACTCCTTTCATTCTGTGCTAATCATTGATGTTTTTATGTACGTGAAAGAGACTTGGGACTTGCGAAGAAAGCACATGCTTAACTAGTCGGCATTTTCAATTTATTGGTAAAGATTTGGAGGGTACTATGGGAATCTTTTTCATGTCCAGACTTGTTGTTAGATGTTCACTTTGTTCAAGAAAAGTTTTATACTCTGAGCTCGTTAAGAAATAACGTTTTTAATTAGCGTTAGTGTTTTAGATAAAAATTTTAGCGTTAAACATGTTTCGTAGATGACTTTTTCAAAGCGCTAATTTCTAACGTTATTTCTAAATGTCTCTAATAATTTAACAACTAAAATTGGACAATAATTTTTTGCATCTGTTCTTATGACTTTTGTGTTTGAATTGTATTCCCCTCAGTGTGTGGCAGTGGCGCCTCTTCCCCCACCCCATCCAAAAGCACGAGTGATACAACATCCGGTCTCCAAACTCCCAAGCACAAACGCTCTTTCGCACGTAGCAAATCTCTCGCTTTGTCTAATTGCAACTCATATCCTGTCAAGTACGCCGCTGTAAAATCAAATGCCAGAAAGTCCTATGGACCTAGTATTGGGAGATCTTTTGATGAATCAAATATAAAAGTACATGAAAGACGACCCTTGTCAAACGCGGCTTGCCAAGAAACAGAGAGTGACATTTTGTTGTCGAATATGGCATGCCATGACAATGAGTCTGATAGTTTGTCAATTAAGATGGCATGTCAAGACACTGAGACTGACATTTCGTCAATAAAGATGGCATGCCATGACACTAAGACTGACATTTTGTCTCAAAACTTGGCATGCCAAGACAATGAGGCTAACATTTCGTTGCTGAATATGGCATGTCAAGACAATGAGATTGACATTTTGTCACAAAAGTTGGCATGCCAAGGTAGCGAGAGTGACATTTCGTTGCTAAAAAAGGCATGCCATGACAATGAGAGTGAAAGTTCGTTGTTAAAGATGGAATGCCAAGACACTGAGAGTGACGTCAGGTCGCTAAAAATGACATGCCAAGACAGCGAGAGTGAAAATTTGTCGTTAAAGATGGCATGTCAAGACAATGAGAGAAAGAGTTGCATGAGTTCGGGAGGCCATCCGGACGTTTTGAATGATAGGCAGATCAAAATTGACGATTTGAGAACGAGAGATTGTACAGATTGGATGGATGATAGTACGAGTGAAAGTGAGGAAGAATGTGATGGTCTATTTTTGATACATAGACAACTTCAAGCGATTGGGAGTCAACAATCCAACTTATTACAGTTTCTTGAGGTATGTCTCTTGTATCCCCTTCTAGTTTTTTATTTGAATTTCAATTGCTTAAACAAGAAAAAAAACCAATCATCTAAAATAACTTGTGGAGTTTTTACTTTATTTTGAAATGAGCTAAAATCAAGCATGTTTCTAAAGTTTTAAAACTCATTCAAATAACTATCAGGGCTGACCATCTGGGAACCCGAGAATGAAGTTCACTGAATTTTTGAAAATGAGTAAAATACAAAAGAAATTTGATTTTTCATACAAACAAAAAATATATAGAATATTTGATAAGATCCGGTGGACCGAACATAGTGTGGGAGGAGACAAGCAGGTTTGTGCGCATTTGTACGGTAGACCCAACATATTTGCTCATAGAGATTTCATTCTAAAACCAACTGGTAAGAGAAGACACTATTAATAGACTTATATCTTTGAAACATTTGATATTTTATTCAATGTGGGAGAGAAGTTCCAACAAGAACTATATTCAAAGTAGCAAGAACAAATTAAAACATAAAAATACAATTTTATAACTTTCTTCCAGTTTTCTTTTTTAGTCGACTGAAATTTTTCTCCGTTTTTCCTTCCAAAGACTATTCACCTTTTTCCCACTAATATACTGCATACTATTTTACCGTTGTTTGATATTCAATTTTTTTTACTTACATTTCTCTTCGTTCTATTACAAAAATATAAACTTAAAAAGACAAACATTTTTTTTTCATTTTTATTTTAAAGATCCCTTGAAAATTTTGGGCCTAAAAATTTGTGATTTGATGTAATTATATTTATTTATTTATATATGTACTCGTATGTAATACTCCATCCGTCCCTAAATAAATTTCCCTTTCGTTTTTTCTTTGTCCCCAAATAAACTTCTCTTTTCCCTTAAAAAACCTCTTTTACCTCTTACTTTTTCATACCCTACCTATCACATTATACCTTTTTACTAATAATATACCTATCACATCTTACTTTTACATATCACATCAAGGGCATTTTTGGAAAGTGAACACAAAAATATCCCTCCCTTAAATCTTCAAAAAGTCAAAAATGGAAATTTATTTAGGGATGGAGGGAGTATGTTCCCACTGTCCCAAATTCGTATACTTCTGCATGTATATAACCTTGTTTCTTATCCTTTCTGGTTGTCTATTATTTGGATTGGCTTTGCAATAATTTGTATGCAATGAATGTTTCTTACTTCCACATTGTACTTCTCAGTTCTCACATGCATTGAAAAGAAAAAAAATAACATTAAAAAAACTTCCCTAAGACTGTCAAAATTTTACCTTCTCCCCCCCCCCCC